TCACAAGGCTCCCACCCATCAGGAAATTATTGAAGACCTGATTATTCTCTCAGGCCTTGGGGACAGAGTGACTGCAGAGTCAAGTTTTTGTTTTGGTTCAATCTGTTTTAGTTTGTTTTTGTATTTTGCTCTTCTGAGTTTATTGCATTTTTTAATCTGTTGGGTTTTGTTTTGTTTTTTTAGTTGTAAGCCACCCAGAGTCACTTAGGAGTTGGGCAGCCTATAAAATAAAAAAAATTAAACATAAATAAAATAATTCAATTTGAAGGAAACTTCATATACAATTTTAAGAGAAGCCTTGACTTCAATTGCTAGCTCTGTTTCAACCCATTATCCTCTGCCATTTTCCACCACTTTCTCCTGCTCCCACCTTTGCCTTTACATTGCTTCTCACCGTAGTCCACATCACATACTCCCTGTGCTCAATGCCTTCTTTCTTTCCTCACAGTTTCCCTACAATTTCTCCCATCCCTACCTTCAAGTTTATGTACCATCCCATCATTATCACCAACTAGGGTTCCTATTCTTTCCCTTCCCACCATGCTGTTTTTCACTTTCTCCTGCTTTTTTTTAGTTCCCTGCCCTATTATCCCACCTCTTTCTTAAAATCTTCCTTCCTTTGGCACCATACTCTCCTTTGCTGACTTTGGCAGTGACTTTTTGTGTGTCCTGTAGAGTAACCTATTACTCCAATTAAAAGTTATTCTAATACTCAGTTTTAAATGTCAGTTACAGTTCACTCTTGTATCTCTTCAGAAGTTAAATGGGACTTAATTCCAAAGTCAGTCTGTATAGAACTGCCATCTTTGGTGGATTTAAAGTAAATGGAAAAATATAAAAATGTATTGATATTTGGACTGTGGATTAAAATTTAGAATATGAAGATATCAAGTAACATATATCATGTAAAGAATGTTTCTGATTTGACAATTCAGTATAAAAAACTGAAAATGATTAAGACAGATATATTGAGCCCCAAATGTAAATTTAAAGCATACATATGTGTGTATACATATATAGAAATTTGTATGTGTATGCAGCTACATATTTACCTATGTTTGGCATGACATTCTGTGAGTATAAATCTGAAGTTAAATTCCTATCCAGACAATGTTTACACCTTAAAAACTTCATTAAGTAAGGAATTCGAATTCAAATTACTGGAAATGTAGATGCATTTTATATATAATTATCTTGCTTAACTAAAAACTGGCCAGATACACAAGTTAATCAAATTACAACATTTTCCTCAAATTTGCATTTGTAATATGCAACTATTCAATATATTAATAGCATAAACCCAGACATACTAACTTAGACATGTCCAACTGCATTCAGTAGGAATTATTTCCAGGAAAATGTACACAGCATAACCTATCTGTTAGAGACTGAATAGAAAAACAAATTATTTTTTAAAATGGTATGTTTAATGTGTCACCTAATGTTACAACGAGCTTCTTCACAGTGGTTGAATTAATAATCAAGGTTAACAGTGATGCTGTTCCAGAATGCATTAATATCTGAAACACAAAAGATTTGAAGTTACGATTAGCAACCTGATAAAATGTTTGTATATTTATGCTACCATATTTTAAGGGACCAGAGCAAAGTAGAAAGAATAATACTGAAACATAGAATACAATATCACCTAATATGTTGAAAAAACAAAATTAAACATAACCAACCACAGAAGTATAGTTCTATATTCTGAACTGAAAACAGAGTTTCCTCCCCATAAGAAAAGGAGCTAAAAAAGAAAAATAGTTAAGTTGCCTTCTCCACCCATCCCTTCTCTGCCACTAATTGTTCACATCAATATTTTAACAAAGAGCAATTAAGCTTGTGTTACTAGAGGTGGCAAGATGAACTTTTAGCAACTTATTTCTTTGGTTACAAAGAGTCAAATCCAAGTTTAGCAGTGGAGCTAAAATTATTTATTTATTTATTTATTATTTATTTATTAATCATATTTAGATAGATGCCCATCTCACATAAAAGTGACTCTGGGCGGCGTACAATAATGAAAAAGAATAAATACATAAAAAACAATTGCAAGTAAAAACAACTATAAAAGCACACAAAACAGGAGGGGATAATATTAATAAGGAAGCTATTGCAAAATCTCCCTGGTCCCCTGGGATCCTCAGGCCTGATCACATAGCCAGGTCTTGAGGGACTTGCGGAATGTTGAGAGGGAAGGAGCTAATCTCACTTCGGGGGGAGAAGATTCCACAAGGCGGCCGCCACAGCAAAGAAGGACCACTTTTTTGGGACCCACCAAATGTAATTGCCTGGCAGACAGGACCAGCAGCATGCCTTCTCTTCCAGATCTGATGGGAAGGGCAGATGTAATCGGGGAGAGGTGGCCCCTCAGATAGCCCAGCCCATGCCATGAAGGGCTTTAAAGGTCAAAAACAGCACCTTGAATTGGGCTCGGAAGCAAACTGGCAACCAACGCAGCTCACGGAGCAGAGGTGTTGTCAGGTTCGGCCGGCACGGCACTTCGGAGAAGCTTGCAGCCGCACCGCACGAACTCCGCCGGCGGTGGCTAGCTGAGGGAAAGAGGAACTGAAAGCACTGCTAATTAATGGGCCACCTGCGCCCAGCCAAACAGGAAAACTGCAGCGGAAGCTTTAACTATACACTGATAACGGCGCGAGCCAACAATGAGCGGGGCCGCAGGCAGCGAAACAAGATCACCACGCAACTCAGAACCCTTGGGCTTGCACGTAATGGGGGGGAACCAACCCACGCCGGAGGGGACTGCCAATCAAGGACAACAGCCCGGGGCCAAACCTGCCATCATGGACAAGGAAGGGGGATTATTGGGGAGACGATAATCCGCAGCGGTAACGCGATCGCAGGGCGAAAAAAGCGCGGGAAGGGGGGA